TTCCGCTCTGTCTCTATGTTTCTCTATATCCTAGAGCTGAGATCTCGCGTGGTCCCGTTTTTTTCTCCTAAGTACCCTCTTTTCTTCTCGTCTCTTTGCCTTATATTCCTCTTGTGCCGCCCTAGTTTTCCGTTGCAGCGCTTTTCTGTATGCCTCATTTTTTTCCGCCGTCAATCTCGAACATTCATCGTCATACCAAGGGTTCCTTGAAAATGGTGGTTTATAACCCAAGATATCACTGGCCACCCCCTTCATGATGTCTGCGTACTGTTTCCATTGTTCATTAACGGTCGTAAAAACAAGTTAACGGAATTAATTTTCTCGCAAAGACGGTCTCTAAAGGCTCCGGCAAGCTCGGTGGATTTCAAATTTTTAATGTTGAATTTCCGCGTTGTCGCAGTATGCAGTTTTTTAACATTGCATATTCGAGCTCTGAATCTAGCTGCAACTAAAAAGTAGTCAGAGTCGATATTTGCACCCCTATACGTACGCACATTCAAAACACTCGAGCAGTGACGAGCGTCGATGAGAATATGGTCAATCTGATTGGTTGTACGACCATCCGGGGTCAGCCAGGTACCCTTGTGGATATCTCGGTGCGGAAAATACGTGCTACTTATGACCATGTTGCAAGACGCCGCCAGATCGATCAAGCGGAACCCATTGTCGTTGGTGGTGTGATGAAGACTATGGGTGCCGATAGTTTTTCCAAATATTTGCTCTCGACCAATCTTCGAATTGAAATCCCCCAACAAGATTTTTGCATCATATCGTGAGCAGGCTCTATAAGTTTTGTAGAGAACATCATGGAAATTCTCCTTGGCGGAATCCTCTGCCTCATTGTTTGGGGAATGTGCGCATATTAGGCTGATGTTATAAAATTTGGCCCTGATGCGGATAACGGCCAAACGCTCATTGATTGACTTAAACCCGATGACGTTACGTCTAAGCCTGTCACCAACTACGAATCCGCATCCCAATATGTGATGCTTTTTGTGGTAGCTGTAATAAATATCGCATTTCTTTTTCTTTAAAATTCCAGATCCTATCCAACGTATTTCCTATATTGCAGTAATGTCTGCCTTATACTGCACGAGAATGTTTTCCAAATTATTAGATGCACCTGTCGTGTAGAGTGTTCTTATATTCCAGGTGCAAATCCGTAAATCCTAGTCCTTGATATGTTTGCCGTGTCTGTTACCATTAGATCCAACCAGTCTATTCGAGGCTTCACTTAAGTCTCCCATAACTGACAAGTTTTACAGGTAAGGTAGTTAGCCTTACGCCAACCCCAAACCGGGGCCAAAGTTCGCGCTTAGAGTTTCGGCCATTTCTGCCAGCGGGTGCTGGAAGAAATGTTGCCAGGGGCTACCACGTGGAGGTAGAGTAAGCACTTGCCCAGGAACTCAAACAGTTACACAACTGGGTCAGCGACCGATCAGTTGCTACCCTGTTGCTCCCAGACCAGGCCCCCTTGATTTAATTTAAATTTAGAAAATTAAAAAAGGTTTAAAACTTTAGATGAAGCTATAATAATAAGGTAGTATTGGAACGGGTTATTAGTTTGGAATTTTGGGTGCTATTTACTATTTACTCCCATTTATATTTATTCTACAACTGTACACTTACTTCTCCTACTTTGACAATAATTGAAATAAATTTACACGCCCAGACATCCAAAATGCAATCCAAGTGTAGGTTTTTTATAGTGCAGTACTATTAACTGCAGTATTAAAGCCGTATTAAAACTTTAAAACCGACCGTAAAAAAAATATAAAACAATTCAAAGTAGTTTAAACATTTCGGATCACTATATTGGAAATTGAAAGTAAATAAATGTCAAATGAACGAATTTTGTTACCAAATATTTCAAAAACACATTGGTTAGCTGTCAAAATGTTAAATATTGTACAAACGGGGTAAATAAATTTGTTCAAATTATCAAATTTTTTAATTGAATAACATTGGCAACATGTATATTAAAAAAGCCTTGACGTGTACATAATGTTGACATGCATAGTGAAAATATAGTTTCGATTTTTTCACTACTCTGTTTGCATTGTTGCTGCATGGTTGAAACACTTTTTTAGCAATCTAATCTTGTTACAATGTATAAATTTTTTTTCTGCAATATGAATCACAGATACAATGTAATACTAAATTACTACTGCATTTTGGATATCAGGAATAATTATGTTCAAGATACTTTCGAGTTGACCCCCTACTACATTATAAATCAAATTCAATTGCAGTCTGCAAATTTGCAGTAAATTTTAAAAATTCTACACTTTTTTTATGATTTCTTATTTAAAGTATTGTTTTAATGTTTTAGTTTTATTTTTTAATTTCGCAATTTTTTAATATTGCAATTTTGTTTTTGTTAGCAGATTGTACTTGGTTGTTATTTAATGGGTAATTGCAGATAACATTTCTTCTATTACGCATATTAATTGGAGACATTTTATTAAAACATATTAAAATATTTTTACTTTTGTGCCATATTTTTTTAAATGATCATAAAGAATTAAGTTGGTCGTATACAAAGGATTAAATTGATGACAATAAAAAATCTTCTTTCTGATATTATTATTTATAACTCTTTATAGAATATCCTTGACAATGAAATTGATGGTAATACACGTATTATATTTTGTATTAAAAATTATATTATTAAAAATGAATTTCAGTTATAATATCCTCAAGGCTATAAACTAGAATATTATATTTTTAAGGCTTTTATTGAACTTTATTGTACAATTCAATGAAGTATATAAAAAAATTTACAAGATTTAAAAGAAAATTTATTTGGGTTTGCAATATGCGTAGGCGGAGGTGTTACAAATACGTGTGCAAATGTCAATAGAAATTTGAATAATGTGAATGGTAAAAGTAAATAAAATTCATTTGGCAGAAATGTTAACAGAATCGACTTTGAATTTAGATTTATGAGAACCGAATTTGTATAAATTGAAGATTTGTAGATTGGCAGGTATCATCTTTAGGTAAGGTCACTGCAGCCATAAAGACTTATTGTAACATCCTGCCGTTAGTAAAGTAGCAGGTAATCTTTATGTAATTACAGATTCGTCCAAGCGTCACCTTTTCGAGGTTGCCAGAATCATATTCAGAAAGTATGCACAGTCGTCTCATCTTCATCAGGAAAAAGTTATATATACAGTTCCCGAATTTTGCAAATGCTAACAGATCATGCAATATGCAGTTGGAAGGCCGAATATGAACTTGTCTCATCCCTATTAGACGCCAATAACTCTTTAGCACTTCTAAGAGATGGACCAGGAATAAAGAGTTTTGTCTGACTTATTTCCACCGTCCTTTTCGTTCCAAACACGCCTTCATGAGACATTCTAACCTCTCACAGAAATAACCAACGTTACCCTCGATTTCACAAGAGCATTCGCCTCTTCGTTACCATAAATATCCATATGCGTCGGAACCCACGATCGCCAGGAAAATTCAAATATGCATTACTTAATTTCTCAGAACTGTTTAGATATTCTATGCGTGAAAGCTTTATTCAATTTTATTTTTAATATAAATTTTATGCTCACGTAGTTCAAATAATTTTATTAAAGGCAAAACCAAAAGCTTCGTTAATTAAAATTATGGTAAATGTGAAATTGTAGATAAAAAACATTTTGTTTGTTATACATTTCTCTTCTTTGTCCCTAATTTTAGGAAATTTTGATAAACTCCGAACATTAAGCACAAATCAAACAAATACACTTAAAAATATTGTTATCTAAGAATTCTTTGTGTACCATACTCTTTCAGCTTTTTAGAATTCTAAATGAAAAACTTTATTTATAGGCCATTTTTTGTATTCTTTTTGTTTTTAGGTTAAAATTAAGTGTGAATTTAGTGTAGAAATTGATCCTCTTGCGCACATTAGGTTAGGATTTGTACAGTACGCAACTAGCGTTAAAAATAATAAATTTTTAAATAGTCTAAAATAATGTTAAAACTGTTTTGGATTTTGAATTTATTTTTGTGTTTAAAACCAATTGGAGTACATTCGGCAAAAAATATATATAATGAGGCAAGTTAATTACAAATTTTATAAGTTCTTTGGAATCATGCAATTATACTAACATTTTTGTTTTAGTACAGCTTTGTAAAAATTCTACTTTGAACAATTCCTTAATACCACATTTGACATCAGATACAAAATATATTCATTGTTTGGATGGTAAATATAAAAGTTTACAAAACTACCGTGAATATGAGTGTCCCAAAGCATATTTATTTAATTCAAAAACACTAAGATGTTATCTTCCAAAAAATGGAAATAATCAATGCCATAAAAAACCAAATGGTTATGCTTTTGAACATCCTTATGCTGAATGTAAATATTTTTATGTTTGTTTGAATGGAAGACGTTTAGTGAAAAATTGTTTATTACCAAATTTACAATTTAATATTCAGAAAGGTTATTGTGAAATAAGTGATGACTTAAAAACCTGTAAGAGATTAAATTGTAGTAAAGATCATTTATTAGGATATACGATACCCGATGGAAAAAATTGTAAAAAATATTATTTATGTCAAAATGGAGAGAAGATCCAGATGAAATGTTTACAAGGTTTAAATTATGATCCTTTAAAAAATTATTGTGTCAAAAAAAATTTTATTATTTGTGAAAATGGAAATGAAAATAAAAGAATTACCTGATTTTTTATAATTTTCATATAAGCAATATTTAATAAAGAAAATTCAAGAAACACTGAATTAAAAATTGGAAAACAACAGGTTTGTAATTTTATTTCATTAAATTTTTGAGTCCCGCCGCGTATTCTACCTGTTTGATTGAGCAACTACATACATTATATTGAATCAATTGAAACATACCTATATAAACAATAAACTGTCCCAAAAACCCCATTCATTCATATTCAAATTCATATCTTTATTTAATTTAAATATGTATGTACTCGTATGTGTGAATAATTTTGTTTTACAATTTCAATTTTATTTATTTTCAGACAAATATTCAATGTTAATTGTAAATTTTTATTTAAAACGTCATATGGGTAATTTTTTAATTCAAGTATACGGACCATGTTGCCTACTTGTTGTATTATCATGGGTATCGTTTTGGTTAAATCGTGAAGCAACTGCCGATCGTGTTTCATTGGGTATTACAGTAATATTAACTATGACATTTTTAGGATTGGAAGCAAGAACAGATCTTCCAAAAGTTCCATATCCAACTGCATTAGATTTTTTTGTTTGTTTATCATTTGTATTTATTTTTGCTACAATTATACAATTTGCTGTGGTACATTATTACACAAAATACGGTTACGGTGAATCTTATTTTATAATTGATTCCGATAGTGAAACGGAATCTGAAACAGATGCTGAAGCTGATGAAACATTAAAAACTTTAAGTCGTATGTCATCAGAAGATTTAAACGCTAGTACCGAAACAACTTTATTTGAAGTTATACCATTGTCAGCATGTTCAGTTGCGAAGAAATATTCGAAAAGAAGGCATCGAAAACAACCACATTCCTGGTTAAGGTGGGAATGTTTTAGACGAAAGAAAATTGAAAAACAAGAAGTTGAAATCGAAATGGAATCTTTTGATGAACAAGAACCGTCTATAAGAACACCTAAAAGTAAGAAATTTCAAAAATTGACTTTTATTTTTTTTGGTTGCATTTAAATCAAATTTTAAAAAAAAAAAAAATAAATTTTTTTTTCAAATTGTATTTTTTAATATAGCTCCACAGAGGCGTTTATATCATCATCATACCTATCCGGCAACAATTCAGGCAACAACAAGTAGTCCAAAACCAGGTCGCAGTACTGATGGAATTTATATTGATCATCATCATCAGCAACATTTGCAGCAGGAACAGCAACAACAACAAACAACAGCTACATCAAGTGCTGATGAAGGAACTGGTGGTATTGATGCAAATGTTCGCAGTACTAATTCACAATATAAACGTAGACGGAAAAAGGAACCCCAAATGAATTCAGTATCGAAAATTGATCGTGCTTCTAGAGTTGTTTTTCCATTATTATTTTTAATTATAAATGTGTTCTATTGGACAGGTTACTTAGCAAGAAGTGCCGCATATCTTGAAAACACTTCCACCTGATGTAATTTTATGGCAATTTAGACAGTCATTTTTTTGGAATTGCTCTATAATTTTCTATTTGTGCTTCACTGAGTCAGAAATTATGTCTAAATTGTCAGTTTTACGCTTACTTTATTGCATATTAAAATAATTTATTTTACGAAAAATTTCACTTTGTTTTTCTCTCTTTCGTTGCAAATAAATTAAATTTTCATTTAATGGAGGAGAAATTCAACACGAAAAACAGTGAAATGTGAAAATGTTATACCAACAAACAAAAAACATGGTTATGGCATATAACTATATTTCAAGTAAAAATAAAACAATAAAAAGAAATTGATTTAAAATAAAAAACTAATACAAAACCATTAATTTTCAAAAACTTTTAAAAAATAATAAAATAAAACAAGACGTAAATAAATTAATTAAGGCTTTTTAGGAATAGTTTGTTTTCATAATAATTTAAGGACAATATTATGACATCTGTCAGTAATGTCAAATCTTTTTTATTTAAACTAAGAAGAAATATGTTTTTATTATGTAAAATATAAGATAATTTTTATTTAATTTGTTAAAAAAATTACATTTATAACTTTATAACTCAAAATATAATCATTATTATATTTGCAATTCATTTTATAAATAATAATATAATGTGCACATAATTATGTAATCACACATATTACAATAGAATTATTAAAATATTTTGGAATAAATAACAATTAATTAAAAAATAGTATTGGTCTTCCAAAATATTTAAATAAGATTTCAATATTCATAATTTACAGTTAATTAATATCATATTTAATTTAAAGAAATCATATAAATTTAAAAGAAAGCCTTAATTCATTGTCAAAGTTACGTCTTTTTATATGTACATTAAAAAAATATTAATTAAAGCAAAATGCCGTATTAAAATCACTATAATTATATGCATGTATAAATATATATGTACGTTTCTATGTGCCAAAATTATTTTTTAGTTAAGATATTTAAAATTTCAATTTTAATTTGACATTTTGATATGTAATTAATATTCTTTTAAAGTTTTTACAACTACCCTTACAATTAAAGTAACTTTTTGTTTTAAGTTGATTGAATACGCATATTTAAATGGGACCGCCGGAATCAAACAAAATTTAACTGACGGCGGTAAAACTTCACGGCGGCGATGGTTTCCATATAATATGTAATGTGTTATATTATATGCAAAATAATGAACGGTTGAGTTTTCTGTTTCCTGCCGTTCTCTGTTAAAAACGGAAATCGTCCGCTGTTGCCGTTCACTATTTTAGTTCTGCTTTTAAATTTATTCACAAAATCAAAATGTCATAAGAATATTGGTGCTATAATGGTCAGATATTTTATGGCAAAGAAAATTTTTTTTTTTAAAATATGTTTCCGGTAACATAACGATACGATGTACACGCTTGAACTTGAACGTATGTATTTTGATAAAAATATATTGAAAGTACGAACATATTGAAATACGAATAAAAACTTAAATGACATTAATCAAGTAATGGTTATCTCAGCTCATACATACATACATATATGTATAAATGCATTATTAATTTGTATAAAACAATACGTACATATTGTGAATATATGCATATAATTAAAATTTACATTACAATAAAATGTTGTCAAGGCCATAATAAAGATTTGAAAGAATAATAAGAATGTCATTTCACGTCAATTAAGTATAAATATTATTAAACTAATTTAACAAAAATAAAATAAAATTTTGACAATTATATTGAGATTAAATTAATAATTTCAAAATGTCAAAATCTTTAATTTTAATCTTAATTAATCTTACAGCAATAAAATATTGTATTTGTATATTTATTCTTTGCCGTATAATATTATTAATTAATTTTTAAGTAATATATGGATTTTTTTAAGCTATGTAATTATATTTACACAAGATTTATATTTAAAATTATATTTTACATATTATTATAATCGTTCATACTAAATTTTATAATATTGTGTATAAATTATGTATAACTATATTTAATTTTCACTGTGTGACATAATTTTTTGAAATTCAGCACTTGTATATTGTTATATTATAACTTTGCCAAAAATTTTACAATACTATGGTGTAATAATAATAATTATTGTTTTACTATAAAAATTCAATAACTTATACACTTATAATTATTATAGATTTGTTATTTATTTATGAAATTATATTCAATTATATTTTATTAAATTTGCAAAAGAAAAAAAAATGAAAGCCAAAAATTACTTATGTACAATGAGAAAAAGAAAAAAAAAGGAAAATATATTATTTAATGTTATCTAATTTTAAGTAGGAAAATAATATAAAATATGTTTTAAAATCAATTTATGATCAAATTCCTATAAAGAGTAATAGAAAAATGAAAAAAATGAAACCAAAAATGAATCAGAAATGGAGAATTAAATAAAAGTATTTAAAAAAATATGCGCCTTTTTTATAAAATCAAAGTGGAGCAATTTATACGTATAATTATTAAGTTATATTAACAAAATTTTAATTAATAAACTTACATTGCGATTAAAATTATGTGAATTTTAAAAGGCAGCCATTAATTCCTTGTTAAATTGTTGATCTATTACTGGCCTGCCCAACCCTGGAATTTGATATCCTGGAAAAACATTTTGCAGTGGCCTTGTCAAATTTCTCTTTTCTAATTTGAAATAAGCGGTTCGGTTAAATTTTATTAAATGAATAGATTTCGAGGTCGTTCGATGCAAAAAAGTAGATCTCTAGAATTTGGAAAAATTCTAGTACGTAAAAAAGTTATATTAAATTTTTTAATAAGGATGATCCTTAACAAAACTTGAGAATGAAAGAAAGGTAAGTTATTAAATTGTTATATTTTTATTTATTAAAATTTTACAAAATTGCTAAATGTGTTTTCTAGCTTTGTGAATTCCACATAGATTAATATTGTTTATTGAGAATATAAAAAATTTAAATGTGAAAAAATTAATTTTTAACTAACAATTGAATTAGTGTTTAAAGTTTTAAAGTAATCATTATAAATTGTACAATAATTGTGTAGTAAGAGTTAAGCTATGAATTTCAATACTATTTGCTTAAGCATATTTACTTAGGGACTGCGTGAGGATAATATTTTTTATAAAAACAATTAATAAATACTTCTATTATAAGTAAAAGTACTGATGCAAATATTCCGATTATTAAAACCATTATCAGTTGTTCTGCGTATTCCATTCCAACAGTTCCAACATTACTTTTTGAAAAGCAACGAACTCTAGATTTCATCCATTGTTTTCTATGTTTATCAATTAAACCAATTTCAAGTAACAACAAATATCTAAAAATACATGATTAAATTATATTTTAAAATTGAAGGGTAAACACATACTTTTGTCTTCTCATTTCAATAAATGGTGATTTTTGATTTATTGGTATTGACGCCGGAAAATCACCTCTAAGTGGAACTTCATTTAAATCACAAATTTCTTCAGGAGTAAATAATTCCTCAATGAGGCGAACTGCAGTTGTAGCTTCAGCATGATAGGCATAGTCACCCTGTCGAATAAGTGAAATTCCTTTTCTAGCATCGGGAAATTGTTTTGGATTAGGATTTTGTAAATTAACACGTTTATTCGTAAAATATTTTACAGATGACGTATTAGACTAAAAATAAATTTTATTATTATTATGACAAATTCAATATAATTAAAATACTTTTAAAAATTCATAGATATAAACAATTGGTTCAAATCCTACATCTAATTTACTGTCAGCTAATTGTTCTAAAGTTTTAATATTTGTTTTTAGTGGTGTCGACAATAACGAAGATATTATAACAGATGCATAATATTGGTTTAAAATATATGAAAAAATAAAAATTGTTAATAAAACTGTTCTTCCTCCAGCTGTTTTTGGGATAAAATATGAATCTTGTTGACATAAAACTGCTACTGAATTTAATAATAATGTGAAGTATGATGGCAAAAATTGAAAATTCGAAAAAATGTTTCGTTCAACTTTAAATATTTTATAAAGTAATATTGTTGTTATTAAAATGGTTAGAAGCATTGCAATCCATACAAGTTTACTGAATGGCTTTAAAAATACATAGTTTGTTAAACCTTCACTTCGAGGAGTTCGAAAGAAAAATACTGAACGAAATTCTCCAAGTTGAATAACAAAATGTGCTTTAGCCATTCTTCCTGGATATAATGTAAATAAAACCCCACTTAAATCATCTTGACCATCAACAATAGCTCCAAATGCACCACCGGCTGATCCATTTGTTGACCATTTATCATAAACTACTATTTCAATCCTAAAATTATAAAAAAAATCACATTATTGCTTGACTACCATCAAAGGAACTGTAAAGAATTTATAGTGTAAAAGAAAAATTTACTTTTAAAATTCACGTTTCCATAAAACCTGGAATATTTTACAACAAAAAGAATTTAAGCTGTTTTGCGTGTCTGCGTGGAAATTAGCTTTGTTTTGTAAATAATTTCACTAAATTTAGTTATTAGAAAATTACTCAAATATAAAATTGCTTTGATAATTTTGCAATATGTAAGTATCAGAGAATTTAAATTTAGATTTAAAAATTTTATTATGACCAGAGTCGGATTTACTATATGTTTATAATGAAATTTCTGGAATGGACGACGATGGCGAAAGTATTTGCGCTCAATGGTTCGGTAAGCTTTTTGAATAAAGTCTGTGGTTGATAATAAGAAGAAAACAATTCAACAATCAATCTAGCTTAATGGGAAATCTTTAGAGCCCATATAAATGTATGTTTGTATATTCATAACTAAAACAAATTTTACGAGAAATTCTAATCAAATATTGCCTTTGTAGGAAAACAAGCAAAAGCAGCACACTATAATCGTTGGTACAATTTATAAGATAAATTTATTAACATTCTATGCTTACTTATTTTTACTTATTCAGGTTATAAAATAGCCCGATATGAAAAGAAAATAAATTTAATAAATGAAGAAAATTTAATTTAATTTTTACACAAGCAAACAAACCAAACGTCTGCATGTTAGAATGTTGGTTAGCGTGTGACTTATATGACAGACTGTATACGCTATTATGAACTTACGTATGAGTATGCTTAGGAATATATTTCATTCACAGTTATACAAATTCATTTCTTTATTAACATAATCGGTGGATTTATAAATTTGTTATTTTTTTTTAAAGCACCTCAAAATATGATTTTTGTACAAGGACATGAAAAAAGTCAAATATTTTGCATTCAATAAAGAATTACAAAGGCACTTTTCAAAAGTTCCATATATTGAAACACAATAATTGTCAAAAGAAGAAAAAAACTTACTTGTATTGAAAAATATCCTGAAGGAGTTTTTCATATTTGTATCCAAGACGTGAAAATGGTTCCACATGTGTATTATTTGAGCTTTCAAGGTAAGCGATTATTGTTTCCTTTGATTGTAGATGTTCCTTTGATACGATCTATGACATGAAGTGAAAAAAATGTGTAGTAAGAATTATTATTAAAATATGAAAGAAAAGAAAAAAAATTTTTTTATTTATTTTTCTTATACATAGGCGTCAAGAAAAGGTTTCATAATCATTTTCGAAAAATCGATTTGTTAAAGCGATTCAACTAAAGAAGCATTATATTTGGACAAATTTCAGATTTTTATGTAACATATAGTTGTTTTTTAGTTAAAACCGATTTTTATTGATTTTTAATGAAAAGTAAGGAGATCTTTATATAATATGTGTATACATACATATACATATGATAATATGAATTTGAAAACAGAACAAGAGGGACTGTTCGGAATAGAGCGAAATAACCGCGGCGAATTCCCGACGGTAAATACCCTAAGCTTCTACTTTAAAACTTTTGATTTTTTCTGTTATCATCTATTTCCGTGTGTACGTGACAATATATGCAAAATACTGTCCGGTTGATTTTGCCGTTCCGTTTTTGTTCTGGGTTAACAACGGAAATTGTCTGCTGTTGCCGTTCACTGCTTTGTTTATGCTTTTACAATTCAAATTTCAAATATTCAAATTTCCGATTCTAGGGAGGCGCATTTTTAAAACTGAAAACAATTTTAAAATTTTTAACAGTTATTTATTGATACAGAAACATACAATATTGCGGTACAACTCTATACGAGAACAGCGTACGAGAGCAATACGTGGTACAGTTTAATACGAGAGTTGCAACACGGAGTATTTAATAACCGCATGTCACAGGCATTTATCTACGACCTATAGATTAAACATGCCTGTTTAATTTTTTGTAAATCTAATTTTCTTATTATAAACTTCAATTACCACAGTTCCCATTCTTAATACAAGATCATTTAATAATAATCGATTTTTATATTTTGATTGTAATGTTAAATTGGTTTTTTGAATTTCGATTGTTTGATTATCGCTATTAAAAACTGCAATACTTTCCAATGTAATATTTAATTTGCCTCCTTTTGTTCTTCCATTATTGTAGACATCATAATTTTTTATTGTTTCTGTAATATTGAAATAGGTCTGTAATATTTAGTAGGTTTAAAATTCTTAAATTTTATAATGAAATTAAATTATATAATTTAAGAATATGTCGCTAATGCTATATGCTACGGCGTATTATAAAAATTTTTTACACTTGTATGTGTGCCCGAAGATATTCCAGAGGTTTTTACAAAAGCTTTGTGTTTAGAACAACAATATTATGCATTTTTCCAAACAGTAATTAAATTTTTATAAATGTTTTAAAATATTTTCTAATTCAATAAAAATTTATTTTTGTTTTTTACTTTGCTAAATACCATTTTAATTCTTTTGATGGCAAATCTATTATTAATTTTCATTTTTCTGATTTTAAAAAGGCTTTTTAAAGTATAACTAGTTTCACTTTCTATAATAAAAAATTATAGTTTCAAATAGTTGATAAATTTTGCTTCCACATCCGGAATAGCTTAAATTTTTTAAAAATGTTCTTTTATTTTCTCGCTTATTCGTTTATTTGCAATGAATATCATTGTGCCTTTATAAATAAATATTTTATGAAAATATTGTATTTGTGTTTGATAAATGAGACATTCACAATGCTTAGTACAGAAAATACCATACCATTTGAAAATTGCAAGAAATTTATTTCAGTATCAACAAATAGTGATGCATCCTTGAAAATATTATAAAAATTATCAAATACGCTGAATTTACTAAATATAAGCCATTTATAGTTGGCACTAAAGCAAAATGGTGTTAAATTTGCCTACAAAGAATATTTTAATTCACTATTGTATAACTGAAAAAAAAAAAATTTTTAAATAAACTCACCAATTTGATAATATTGTAGCTTTCAGTACAATCAAAATCTAATATTATTCCAACTTGTGGCAAATAATTATTTGAACAAAATTTTGCTTTAAAATTATGTGCATTCCTTTCTGTGATATTTAAATTATGAAATTTTACAAACATCAAATTATTTCTCGTGAATTCATTGAATAAAAGTGTTTCTGAAATTAATAAAAAATTAATAAAATTAGATGATGAAATTGTCATTAGGTAGTTCTTAAAAATATTAAGTAAATCTACAAAAATAACATAGTAATAATTTAAGGGACGTTCTCCCTAAATGCAGTAAAATTTCAATTGCCGAATGGAATCGATTGCAGATTAGTTAGGTTTAACACCCTGGGAGTTCATATCTATCAATTAAGGATCACCTCTTATATCCCAGCAATTTGCTACTGTCAAATGTGTGACATTACTTTGTAGAAAATGTGAAGTAATTAAACTGAATAAGTGGAAAAGTTCCATTTTCCAAGAACTTCAAGCGTTTGCACAAGCGTGCGTTTTGAGTTAATTTAAAATAATATAATTTGATTTTTTGCCTCTTATAAATTTTATTAAATATGTTGTATAAACATGTACATATGTATGTATACCCTTAACTAAATTAATCATAAACTATTATTTCAAAATAATTGTCCGACAATTTAGCGTTTGACAACCCTGACGTTTTAAATAGGTACGTATTTATATTTTATAACAAAACTGACATTTGAAATTTGTTTGACCGAAATTAGCTATAACAAATAACAAATACAGACATGACATTAAAAATTATTTGTGAATTAAGAAATTAGATTGAATTTTTTTAATTTTAACTCAATTTCATTTTATTTTGACAAATTATTTAATTTTATTTTACAAATTTTTTTCGAGATGTCTTGTCAAATTAAATTATTTTGACTTTATATTAAATATTGATTTGAAAATGAATATTTTGTTAATAAATATTAAAAATTTTTACCTCCATTTACATCTAACTCAAGAGTATTATTTCCTGCCTATTGCTTACTGCACTTTAAAGTTTATTATTTTTTTACTAAGGCTTGAGTTATAACATCAAAAAATATTTCAATTTTTAGATAAAAGAGTAAAGAAGGAGCAGATGGCGAGTGAAATACGAAGCTCAAGAATACATGTGTATAAGGTGTAGATGCATTTATATCATTTATTTTGAATGACTTTCCATTTAAAAGCTAATTCAAGAGCATTGCGAATGTAATCGTATTTATAGAAATATTTTACATATTTTTTTTTTCGCTTTGCGAAATTTATCTTTCTATATCAACAATAAAATTATGTATTTAAATACGTATTTTTACTTAAGTAAAATGCTATAAGTATAATATTTTTTAATTACATAATATAGCATTGAATATTATTACCGAAAAATAAAACATTTTGGCATTGAAATTTGTGCACGCGTAAAAAACGCATCTCCCATACAATAATTAACTCAGTCATAATTATAGAACATGAGGTCACTTAAAAATATTGTGTAACTTATCCTTTAAATTTTCAAAATTACAATGTATACGTAAATTTTTTAAAGGTACGCATTTTCTAACACAATTACTTAAAAGGTGCTAACTCTGTACAATTGCTATAGAAAATGTAATAATAATAGTAATAGAAGTATTTGTTTAAAATAATTTATGAGAATAATGGCAGCTTTTAGCTTTGACATACATGCTTATACATACATTAACAAATTTATATATGCAATACATAATATTATGAAAAAAGGCGCCATGTTATTATAAAACATTAGTGAAAAAATTTCATTTCATTTTTTGCAAAATTAAATTTAAAAACTCAACACATAATCGACCGTAACGTATATTGCCTAGACAAGTGAAATTATTGCAGAAAATTATGCAAAATATGTATCTTTGAAATACTTCTTTTCAAATTTAAGGACCTGAGTAAGCTTTTAGTTAACATAGTTAGCAAAATTTAAATTTGACTCTTAGTAGAAGTTCACTTTATGCCGTCAGAATTCTCTGAAAAGTTTGTCAGTTAGTTTCGGTAGCAAGCAAAATTCAAATATTATATTTTAAGGACGTTTATGATTTTATTTACATTCCACTTTAAAAACGCAAAAATATGAATAGGGCCCGTAGAAAAAATCTGTATTCCCGAGGTCTGACATATCCCAAAAGTTGATTAATCTGTGATTGACTCACTAATAGAATTTTATCAAAATCAGTCCAACCGAACTTGAGATACGCGAGTGCACACACATGTACTCAGACAGACCTCAAGAAATAAAAAAGTTAATTTACACTTCCCTAATATGTAAAAATTCGTTTCCACCGAAAACTCGATATGCGAAATTTGGTGCGATCACATAATCTCGCTTGTTTTATACAATACGGTTGGTAAAAAATTCATGACGACAAAAATGCAAAAAAATTCATCACGACATACAACAAAATTTAAAAGTAAAAACAAAATGTGAAATCATAGGGCAACATTTTTTTTTATAATAGCAGCAGAAATGCATATGTGTGTCAAGGCGATTCTTAAAAAAAAAACAGTAATTTTCTTCCTAAATTAACCTATGATTTTAATATAAAATTTATCCTTCTTTCGAAAATTTCATTAGAATGTTTTTACTAGGGTTTATTTTTTGTACAATTTTGTACCTTCTTAAATATACATACATATATACGTTTTGCTATGAACTTTTTTAATTTCTGACATACTAAATCATTTTATAATCATTTATGTATATACATTTCACTTATTTACTTGTCAAAATATTATTGACATTTATTTAATCATTTTCTGGCCTTAATATGAGTTTATGGTAGGTTAAAGTTAAAATTTGATGTGCGGTATAAATGTGAATATTGTATAGGTTACGTTTATTATAATATTTTTATTTATTTTGGCAGGGGATTTTATTTTATAATAGTTCTTGGGCTGCCATTCTATACTTTTATTTTTTGTTAACAAAACAAATTTGTTTTTGAATAAGAAATTTTTGGTTTTAATTTATGGGTACATATAAGCTTCTATTTAACTATCTAATGTTCTAATTAATTGAAGTGTCAAGAAACGCTTGTGTTAAATGTAAGTTGTGTTAAAAATAATACTAAATTGCTTCAAATTATAACTAAAGAAATACTATGGAAAATCTTAAAGAGTTATTCTTCAAAAAATTCAAATTATTGCAAATATTAAAAGAAGTTCATTATTTAGCGAAAAATTCTTATATAAGGTCATATACATAAAGATCATCTGAATAAATTTAGGTTGTATAACACTTATGAACAGGCTTAGGTTTTTTCAAACTTTCGACATTAATGCGAAAATAAAAATTTTTCTCATTAGTTCAAATTTCAATGGAAAGATTTATTTTATAGACAATTTAAAACAATATCGTGCGTCATTTTTCTAACAGACACCTATTTTTCGTCTTATGTACTTACGAGTATAAGAAGCATATAAGCACACGCAAAACTACACTACAAGAACTGTGGAGTACATATGAGATTAGAAAATAAAAATAACGTCATAATTGACAATCGGAAATTCAAAAATCTTACATTTTAAAATATCTTTAAGTTCTCAAAAATGAAAGTGCTTATATGTACATTTTCTAAAAATAAATTTATCTGCATTTTTTAAAATTTCTTGAAAAAAAAAACTATTTTTATATTTTTATAAAAATAGTTAATCATTTTTTTATTTAAACTGTAATAATAATAAAAAGACACGATAATACTAATTGGAGTGTCTACACGGCTCGGAACACGTCTGCAAAATTATCTATTTAGAATTGCAGTGAACTTTTAAATTATGCTGATGATAAAAATTAATAGCAAATAAGTGTGAACTGATGTGTTATTCCAAAGGGAGACAACCGGTAATATTAGTTATTTAGTGTATAAGAGTTGATTCACTTAGGAACCTTAGTGTTTGCTTAGAGAGTAAGTTGATATTTACTAATGGTTGGCTAAATAATTAACTATATGGTTGATAAAGAGTTCGTTGCTAGGTTTTATTAAACGCTAGTTTAATGATTTTAACTATTCTTACATTTTGAAGTCCCTGTATTCATTTCTTAATCGTCCTCATCTGGAATACGAATCACAATTGAATCGATTCAAAAAAATTTCATAGGATTTGCGCTTTGTCATCTTTCTTGGAAAAATACTATTATTCTCGATGAATAAAATGGTCACCTCATATCAAGTATTGTAAAAATGAACTATCTAGTCATGCTTGGCAAATATATGCGAAAATAAAAATGTTATAAAAAATAAAGTTGTCTTTGAGCAAAAGTGAATTAAACGACAATAATTATCCCGTTCCAAAATGAAAAATAATAAAAAACAAAAATAGAAAAAAACATACTTAGGTAAATTTTTTTAACCCTTATTTTAACTGCTTTCATTTTTTATTATGACAATTTCAAAATTTTTTTTTTGTTGTTCTTTATTGTTTTCTTAAAGAATTGCAATAAAAAATGCACATAAAATTTTAAAGAAAAAAAAATAATACAAAAAATGTAAAATACAAAATAACCTCATTGTTCTCGCATATTCATAATTTGTACATATGAATGTGTGTCAACCAACATACACACATCCATATTGTATTCATGCTTATATGGAAATGAATTCACTAAGTATATTTTAGTTTTCAGGATATATGAAACGGATGTTATTATGTCCTTTGCACTATTAAAATGTTTTCTTTGTTAATTTTTTTTTCATTTATTTTTATGTGATTCCTGTTTTGGCGAAATTTTGTTTTTCTGTTTTTTAGATTTAAATTTTAGTTACATATGGATGCATTGTAGTTCTAAGCTTTCCTTTAATTCTATTGTAAGTTCTAATTTGAGTTTACGATGTATCCTTTACGGTTTTTTGATTTAATTTGTTATGTATATAGGGATGCACTTTGAACTGAATTCATTTTTGCATATACTTATGGGGTGACAATTTGTTTTTTTCTTGTTGGTGTTGAATATTGTTTGAATATATATAAATGGTACATATTAAAGAATATCCTTGTACTTTGTATTGTAAATGAGAATAGAAGTTTTTTTTTCTTGTTTTTCTTAAATATTGTGTATATGTATGTTATTCAGATTACTGTTACAAACCATTAACATTGTGTGGCCTTGATGAAACTGTAACAGAATACAAAAAAAATAAACAGTAATTTTTGACTTATTCGCAGTACTAAATATTTACTTTGATAGTAGGTAAGTGAGATCGGTGAATTTTAATATGTAAAATATTTAGATGGAATTCAACCCGTCAGATAACTGTTACCATTAAGACTGTTACCATTACAACTGTTACCATTACAAATGTTACCATTGTTAATCCGCTTGAACTAATTAACTCGTTTAATATCATTCAGCAAACAACTCAGTTAAAGGCATACCCTTCCGAATCCTTCTCACACTTCCGAAGGATTTAGAATGTTTTGATACAGGTATGTTTCTT